AACTTAAAAAATTTTGTAAAAAAAATGCTCAGAATTTGTTACTAAACAGTCGGAATTATGATTTACTTGTTGAATCTAATATAGATACACATTTACAAAAAAATAAAGTATTTTAAAGCACGAAGTAATATTTGCTCACGCTATGGGTATTTTTCAATTTCATTTTTCAATCAAAAACATCAAACAAATACGTCGATTATTGAACATCACATTTCCATCTTAAAATGTAGTTTTTGTAGCACGTAATTAACGCGCCATTTACAGACAATATGTATTCGATGATTTGTTTCTGCATTTGTTTGGTGCCCATCGCATAAAAGTTTCCAATGTCTTTGCAAGAGGCGGAACCATCGTCGCTTTTTTCATTCTCGCGAGTGCTAGTTACAGTCATTCATACTTTTCACGCAGCTAGGAGATACCATAAAACTGCGGGACGTAATATCGGGGAAAAAGTAGTCGATGAAAGTAGCACGGACGAGCGGGAGAAGAATCGTAGCTTGTGTACGAAAGCGACGGCTGTGCATTAAACACAAAAATAGTCGTTATGGCCTACATTTAGTTGCGACGTAGCGGTCGCGCATCGCGAATAGACATAGCGAAAGTGTTGGTGCGTCTGGCCCATATAAAATGCAACTCGTGCGAAAGCCCGTGGCTGCAATCACCTTAGGTTCTACTGTGGAAAAGCGTTGAACTCTTAAGTTTCTAGATTCCGCGATTTGCTTGCACATAATCATTTTTTTGAGTCATTACTTTATCGACTCCATTTACGCGCTCACACGCGCACACACGCGCACACACGCACACACACTCTTCTTCGTAGTTTTAGCTCTGTTCTTTGATTAGCTTATTAAATGCGCCATGAAATTTTGATCTGTGTTCAAAATTAGCATTAAGCTTGCTTTATCGTATTTAGAAATTTTTAATATTCTAAGCACTTGTTTAAATTTGAAGAAATGTTATATCAAAGCTGGTGAATATTTTATTGTTAGGATTTGAACTCACCTCGAATTAAATAGAAATTCATTTTCTGTTGTATTATTTGTTGGCAATATTTGTTGTGTACACGA